CCCTATGTTTTGTCATTTGAATAAAATAGTAGTGCATATCAACTTTCCATTCTAGGATATCATTTTTTTACGAAACTTCATTGTAAAAGTGGCACAGTTTTAGCCGCAAAGGGAGTTCCTATTGGAAATTGCATTGTCTATATTTACAGAAATGCAACCTACAATTTATTAAGCCTTAACAGTGTATGAGGTCCATTTTCACTGAACTAGTATATATTATTGTTTAGAGCCAGCTGAAGCCCGCCTCTGGGTGCGAGATTTTCTCGCTGTGTTGAAGAACCATTGGTGGCCTTTGGGCTGTTTTCTGCTCTTTGGTCTGGTTGTTGTCTCTTTGACGGATTCCCCGTTTACATTCGCAATTGTATCTATACTGAAGGAATTTAAATGAGACAATAAAAGACCTGCCATAATACAAGTTCAAGTTATGGATATGAAATATCCAATCTCATTAAAATCAGATCTTTAACTTTACTCCGTTAGATGTGTTTTTCGCTCGTGTAAGCTTACACGAACGACTAAAAATTCTTTCGGATCGAAGTTAATTCAGTCACTGGTTGCCTGTAGGTATACCTCAATGTTTTACAATCTCGTTAACATCAGAACTTTAACTTTGCTCCGATATATTTCATAGTAGTTCGTGTAAGCTTATACACGTTCGACAAACACATGATGTAACGGAGCAGAGTGAAAGATCTGATTTTAATGAGAACATTAAGATATAACTTCAGGCAACCAGTGAATGATTGATGTTATCAAAATTTACTGCAAGGCAAACAAAAAATATCAATAAAAAGTAGTTTAAAAGGCATTGTTTGTATACAGTATACTTCTTTCAAGAATGTCTTGCAGAAAATGGACAAAAGCTTCACAAAGCCTGGCTTTAATTGTATGTTCAGTTGGTATGCTTTCTTTATAGATTCCGGATTTTTGTATCGGGTTAAAGACATAGATACTACTATAATTCGAAATAAAACAATATAATCACACATAAGGGGATGTGGTATTATTTCTAATGTGATAAATTCCCAACAGTTAAGCGACATTAGGTCACCTTCATTTTTTACGACCTTCAAAAAATGAGAAAAAAACCCATACCGTATTGTTAGCTATAAATGGTCGCGACCTGAAAAAAATGTGAAACAATTCAAACGAGAAAAAACCAAAGGCCCCATTTATGACCAAAAAAATGTAAAAAACAAACATGACAGCCAGCAACCAACGACAATCACTAAATGACAGGCTCCTGACTTGGGACAGGTATTAACAGAATCTTTTGGGGTTATTAAAAAATAAGAAGATGTAGTATGATTGCCAATGAGACAACTCTCGATCAGAGACTAAATAACGTTGAAGTAGGCAACTACAGCTCACAGAACGGACTTTAACATAGTAAGCTACATCAGTTTATAAGGTTCCGACATGGCAAATGTAAAACAATTCAAAAGAGAAACATAATTTCCTCACAATAGACAGCAACATACGACAACCGCTGAATTACAGGCTCCTGACATGGGACAGGCACATACAGAATGTGGTGGGGTTAAGCTTATTTGTGAGCACCAAATCCCCACCTAACTTGGGACATTGGTGTTACATCACAAAAAATGAAAAAAAAACGATAAAAGTCATATGTATATTGGTTGACTCATCAGATCGGTACGAAGCACATAAAACAAATAAGGTTAGGGGAGGGTTGAGAGCTCACAAACATATTTAATCCCGTCACATTTAAGCCATTTCAATTGATATTTTATAGTGTGTATTTCTACGTTGTGATGTTACACTATTATTTCAGGTTAGGGTGAAGGTTAGCACCTGTTAAAACGTTTAAACCCGCTGCATTTGTTTGCACCTGTCCTAAGTCAGGAACCTGATGTTCAGTGATTGTCGTTTGTTGATGTGGTTCATAAAGTGTTTTTTATATAGATTAGACCGTTGGTTTTCCTGTTTGAATGGTTTTACACTAGTCATTTTGGGGCCCTTTATAGCTTGCTGTTCGGTGTAAGCCAAGGCTCCGTGTTGAAGGCCGTACTTTGACCTATAATGGTTTACTTTTACAAATTGTGACTTGAATGGAAAGTTGTCTCATTGGCACATATACCACTTCTTCATATATCTACATTCTTTATTTGTCTGTCCCAAGTCAGGAGCCTGCAATTCAGTGGTTGTCGTTGGTTCATGTCTGTCAGATTATGTTTTCTTAAATTGTTTTATTATGAATTAGGCCGATAGTTTTCTCAATTGAATTATTTCATATTTTTCATGTCGGGGACTTTTAAAACCGACTATACCGTATGTATAATTGTTAAACGATGTAGCATATATACCTGTTTATCAAAGAAGAAGGCTTTAAATGAATTGAAGCAAATAAATCGTTAATACGATTTTCCAAATGATAATTTGATTAAATAAGAAAAAATTCTGTTTGATAAGATTTTGTCGCAGTGTAGTGTAGAGTGGCGAAAAAACCTAATTGTTTAACGAATTGAAAGGATCATGAAACACGTTATTTATCTAAATCATCCAAAGAGTTTTATTAATATTTGGATTTATATGATAAAAGTTGTCTACTTACAAGGAGTCTATAGATACTAAGCTGAATGTTTACACTTTAGCCAAACAAAAATATACGTATTCTTGTGAAAAATGTTTTTCTTCCTTTTTTGAAGGAATTTTGAAATACAATGTTATTCTGTTAGTATGGACCCGAACTTTTTTTTATATAAGAAAACGAATGTTCGAAAATCTTCTTAGGGGAACGATCATTTGATTTTCTTGTGGGAGTGGGGTCGGAGGATTTCTATTTTAACTTTTGTACACAATTATTACCTTTTTTTGTCAAAACATTCATTTTATCAGGTCTTGGACAAAACAGTATTTTCTAGTTCTTAACAGGCCAGGATATTATTCATTTCAAAAATCCTCCTGGCCTACCCGGACCCAGTCCCTCTCCGCCCAAGAAAATTGAATGGTCGTCCTCTTACTATAATTAAAAGAACTAAATTTCCAAAGAACTATATCTGAATTAAGCAGTATATTACGTGAAAAGGATTACATCTGAATCGATGAAAATGTAACATATGGAAAATTACACATGCATTTATTGTAAATGTAAGATCGATGATGGCATGGAAATGTCTATACCTGAAGTACATTTTGTAAGTTTAAACTTCTATTTAATAGAACGTATACGTGTACATGTAGCTATCTTATTGATAGATGATGATTGAGGAGTTATTTTATTAAATCTTTTCTTGTTTAAGAAAACAAATTTTCAAAAATTCTATTAGAGAGATATTTACAAAATGTACATAAGACATATTGATCTTTTGGTATCAGGTGTAATGTTTTAGTAAAATTGGTCTAAACATAAAAAAAAAACGTTTATGAGAAAATTTATAAACAATGTTCCATTATAGTAAAAGAAACGAATTGCGATGTGCATATGGGGTTCAATGTAAACTACACATCAACCCAACAACAAAGTTCAACACAGAAAAACATAAAGACGGGCACATTGACCATTCTATTCAAGTCAGATTGCATAAGTTTCCATCTTGCTTTACATTTTATAAAAGAAATGTACTACTTGTTAATCAATACATTACATTTTTGTACAACGCTTTTGATTTATTTGCTAAGTATAAATGCTAACGCCAAACGACGCCCGAGCAACATGCTGCTGTGTAGGTCGTTGAGCACCCCTATATAGATAGATACTGTAAATTGTAGCTATAGGTTTATGATCAAAATAAATTCTGTTAGGTGTCTGATGGTACTAGGTATATCTCAAAATTTCTAAGTACCAGTGCATAAAATCAGAACCATATTACACGTCTCTGATTAAATCAAATATCTTGCTATATAGAAAGCTATACCTAAATTATCCTGCTTTATAGTAACAGTTCATGAACTCAAATATTTTCCTATAATAACAGTTTATAAACTAAAGTGTATTGGTTCATAGTAACAGATCATAAACTAAAGTATCTTGTTATATTGTAATAGTTAATGAACTCAAGTATCTTGCTACACACTAACAGCAAAATGTGTTCATGAACTTAAGTATCTTGCTATTTAGTAACAGTTCATAAACTAATTTTAAATTAAAAAATATCTTGCTATTTAATATCAGTTCATAAACTAATTTGGAGTTAAACGTATCTTGCTATTTAGTAACCGTTCGTGAACTAAAGTATCTTGCTACATACTAACAGTTCATGACCTCGAGTATCTTGCTACATACTAACAGTTCATGTATTCAAGTTTCTTGCTACATACTAACAGTTCATGAACTCAAGTATCTTGCTACATACTAACAGTTCATGAACTCAAGTATCTTGCTACATACTAACAGTTCATGAACCCAAGTATGTTGCTACATACTAACGTTGCTACATACTAACAGTTCATAAACTCAAGTATCTTGCTACAAAGTAATAGTTTGAGGATTCAAAGTAGTGGTGTTAGAATAGATAATGATGGTGGTGATGTATGTTTACATCTAAACTAATTGGGTGTGTTCTTCGTTCACATTAAAGTTATAAATAGTATATAGCTAACTATGCGGTATGGATTAGTTTTGCTCATTGTTGAATACCGTGGCACGTTACCGATTCGAACTCACAACCTCTGTGTTGACAGGCTTGTGATACAGTAGTTCGACTACTTAGACCACTCGGCCACCGAGGCCCCGTAACTGATTTTACAGCAATAACATGTCCAAGAAATCGCTCGGTCTTTAGTATGTGTCCATAGACAGCGATTAATTTATATAGACTTATATTGAAAATAGTTTTTATTCCCGTATTACTTTATACTTTATATTAACTTTTGAATTTCTTAAACACGGCAACTTGATATGATTTGATTTGGTATTATACGGTTATTTAAAGTGTTTCATCATATCATATTTATATTTAGTTTCGAATCGGATATGCAACAGGGAAGACTTTTATTTGTTTGTTTATAATATTTAAAAGAAATAACAGAAATAACAAGGCAAGCTTTTATTATCTAGATAAAATATGAAAATTTCAGTAACTAAAGCAACATTATACCAATACACTGTTGTTTCTGATTTTTAATATCAATAATATTCCCGGTTTATACACACAAAAAAAATGTTATACCCAAATTGACGTCGACAAATACACTAAATAAATAAGGAAGATAATATTTGTTAATTTTTAAGACCTTCCTTTTATTCTTACAATAAATGAAACTACAACCTTGGTATATTGGTATATTTCAGCCCATGCTTCAACTCACTCGTGTAGTAAATACATAAAAGTTAATATACTTCAGTCCAAGCATGAATTCTCGGCCAACTAACCAAGTTACAAATAGGATAATACTTCTGTCAATGCATCACACTTATAACTCGGTAAGTGGCACATTTTCTGATATTCTGATTTAAACATAAAAAGATCTATGAGGGTTAGGATGGGGGTTTTTCATTTTTGCATTCTTTAATTTTCCATGTCATTTTTTCTCTATCATTTGTATGTTTTGCCCTTTATTCTCTATTTTTTATATTTTAGCACCTAATTATTTTCTTTTCTCTATTATTTTTGCCAATTTTTCTCAGTCTATTCTTTATCTTTTTTATCCTTTATTCTGTATATTTTAACCATTATTCTCTATTCTGTAAACCCCATCCAGACCCTCGTCTATACAATATGATATATTAAGTGTGAAATACGATAGGCCCTGTCTCATCCACCTTTTTTGGTGCCTGAATCTCCATTTACAAATGTTCACCATCAACCCTTGATCTCTGCGTGTTCAGTAGTGCACACTGTGCGTGAGACTGGCTGTTTTGCGTGTCCCGGAATTCAGTCTACAAATTGTATTTTGAAAAATTATGTGTCCGTGTATTTTTAAGGAAAAGTTTCTACGTTGCACTATTGAGATCTTTAGTGTGTTTTCTTGTATTTATGATGTAACACAATCACGCACCTTTCCTTCGAAATAAAAGTTTTATAATGTATCCTGTTTATCTGCATCCTGATAGATAATTCATAGTTTTCATTTTCCTCATATAGATTATACATGTACATGCATGAATATTATTTTTATAACTAACTGTTTCATGTCTCTATTACCTCCAAAATAAATCACGGTTTTTCATTTTCCTCATGACTGTTGCAATATCCTAGACTATATACTTCGCAATATACATATATGTAACCAAAATTAAATTGAAGGAAGGCATGATTTATCAACAGGTTAAGTACATCCTGTATACATATTAAGCTAGCTTTCAGCATGTGTTCAGTGACGTTGAGCATTCTTTGAATACTTTATAATTCCTTGTTTTTGCAATGTAATATTAAAGCGTAATCTGCGCACTCGCGCACGCAGCGAGCATAAAACATTACCGAGTGCGGGGATTTCATTTTAACATTTTTAATTAGACTGGTGTTTTTTTTTATCTATTATAATAATGTAATTTTAGAGTTAACTGTTTTTCCTGTCTTGATCTTTATTGTATGTTCTTCAATTATTGTACACTTTGTAAGTACACTGATCGCGATAAAAAAAAAGAAGGAGAGTTGAGATCTGACAATCATAGTCAAACCCCGTCGCACATTCATGTGCCTGTCCCATGCGAAGAATGTCGTTATACAATTATTGACTTTTGATGAGGTTGATACAATGATTTATCAACACCAGAGATCTGATAGTCAACAAGGCCAACCGAATGGCATATCTCATGGCCGGGTTGATAAATCATTTTATTATGTGACTCAAAAACAAATTCTCATTGGCAAAAAGCATAAGAAGTCTTCTTTGATAAAACGTTATATTATTAATCGAATATTTTGAAGAATTTGTGATTCGTTAAAACTTGATCACATGTACATTTTAATTTAATCATTTTGCACACCAATACTGTTGTGTTTAGCTTTTTGGCATGTCTAAAACAGCATATTGCACAGGGCATAAAACATATTACTAAAAATACATTCTAGAAATTCCTAATTTTACATTGTTCATACAATAGTTGTTGATTGATAATATTACAATTGTAGCATTTGGTTGAGGTCAATACGATGTTATATGGACCTAGAGAAGCATATTGACCTCGGACTTCGTCCTCAGTCACTACGCTTCTCTTACGTAGTTCGATATAACCTCGTATCGACCTTATACAAAGGCTATAATTGTATAGTATCAACCTCATCAAAAGTCAATAATTGTAAAGTATCAACTGAAATCAAAATAAAATATTTTATGCATGAAATATTAAGAAGTGGATGAAATTATATGTTAAAAAAAATTGGGTGCTCAATTTTTATGTAAAGTAGTGATCTGGTCCATTCAAAAAGGGTCAAAATTTATAAGTATGTCTGAAGCTGTGAAACTGAATTATAGATCCCCTAAGCATAGAATTGTCCATATTTTGAGTTAGAGTTGCTAGGCTTTTCTATCATTTTGATATTATTTGTCCCAAAAGTAGCCCACTGTACTGTAAAAATCTTTTGGAGATAGAGCAGGTGCGATTTTTTAAATTGAACTTATTGTACAAAAGAAATGCACTACGAAATAAGTGTGTTCTCGGGCCATTAGGTTCAATATAATATCATGTTGATGTACTGACATGTAGAAAAGTTTAAATGAAGTCTTATGGTCGCATTACTCAGTCAAAGAACAACGATTTCTTGTAAAGATTTTTTTCTGGAGCACGACGAATTTCCCATTTCAAGTTTAATTTCGATTATCTAGCACGTCATATCACCGTACGGCCTTGCATAGGATCTTGGCTATATATATGCTTCGCGTTAGTACCAACAGTGTTGATACGGCCTTCAACAATGAGCAAATCCCATGCCGTATAATACCGTATAGAATTACTAAGCTAAAACATATATAGCCGAAGGTTCAAACCAATTACCACAAGATATACCTCGATATTGATCCCATTGATAATATGCTTTACACGGTGCTTTTATTTTGTGAAACGATGCTTCATTTGAAGAACTCTCAGTCATGCTTTGTAACTTTTGAGCGTGTTTGCAAACACCACGGATAAGATGTGGTTCTACCTCGGGGTTCATATTTTGTTTTGTTCTTATTTATTTATAATAATACTATTTACATTCATATCTAATATAATCATGATACGCTATGTATATGGTGGTCTTCCAATTTAAAAAAAAAACAGAGACATGTTTACCACTAATGTTCCGACTTATTATAGTCCTTTTTGAAGCTACAGTGTTCTCACTTTTGGTACGTTTCCTTTGGTCAGGTTTACGTGCACATACATGTTTTTGGGATCGTTAGTCCACCACCTGTTGAATTGGTGGACCCTGGATTCAGTTTGTGTACCTTTCTCTCTTGAGTCAAGAATTTTTGCATTGCAAAGCAAATGCTCTTTCTTTGTCTGATTTAAACTGCCAGAGAGTTTTCATACATTGTAAATGGCTAGCTGAAGATATTAGCTCAAAGTCTCCATGTCCATAAAGTGCGCCATTGACAAGACTGTCTTGTAACTTTATTTCTTTTTGTATTTGTTTATCATCTCTTGTAGTTTTGCAGGCTCACAATCTTTTGTTTTTATTCAACAACAAATTGCACTTTTACTGTTAACAATGTTCTTCACTAGTCCAGCATTCCAGTGAAGAGTCCCTGTTTGTTATACCAGAAATCCGAGGTTGGTTTCTGGTAATTATATATAAGCATCATTATATTAAATTAACATTAATTTAGTTTTAATTACAGCTTAATTATAACATTATCCGCAATGAAATAAACAAGTATATCAGTGTATATATCAATGAGACTTATTTATTTAACAATTTACTATTATATATATCATCTAGAGTATTGTTTCCGGAAATTTTTTATATTTCTTCCGTGAGCGTGTTACTTTTTGAAAATTGAAAATTAACACGTTCGCATGCTCCCAATCTTCATGAATCTTGATCAATTTTCAAGATATTGTTTACCAATAGACTCACAATTGATGTTTTTCCATTGCAATGGGTATTTTTTTAAACTAGCTGCTGTTTTTACGATTCATTGTACAATGTACAGAGTATTTGTTTGATAATTTTAACCGTATAACTGATTTTATAAGTGCAACGTTTTTATCGTTTCCGAGGATAAACATATTGTGTCAACCAATCATTACGATTCATAAGATGATCGACTAGAACTGACGTCGAAAAAAAACCAACAGTGCCAGTGGTTCATCTGAAATAGGTTGCGAATGCAGGATAGGTTAAGGTAAAGGTTTAACGTATCAAATACGATAGAACGGAAATATGATACCTCATTGGACCTGATGATAACTCATAGAAAAGTTCATCCATACTACATGTATAATGGAATATGTTACAATGAATTAACGAAAAACAGAGTAAAACATTCTATTGCAATGACTTGGGGCCGGAACGACTTGGGAACGGATCGATTTTGGGCCGGAACGACATCAAACCCATTTACGACAACCTTCCTTCGCAAATGCCAAGTCACATTTTCACATTGGTACTGGTAAAATGTTTCATGACATTTGAAAATCTGTTTGACGGTTATTTATTTAACTATCGAACGGGAAAACATGTTATTTGGTGTAATACATATATGCTTTATTGTTATATTGTTGACTTTACTATTGTATTATTTCTATTAGAGACATAATACAATCACGCCTGGTAAACCATCATATCTCAACTAAATGGTAAAGCGAGAAAAAAAGTTTACTTGCACTTCCTGTTGAGATTTTCTGGGACAAAATATCAAAAATATAGATACGGTAGGTCGACTTTTTATCAATTTATTGTCAATCTGTAAATAATTTGTTAAATAGGAGAATGTCATGCCAAAGCTAACTAAATGAGAGCTTGTCTCGTTCATTACTCGGACCATTGTAATTTAAAATGAAATCGGAATGACTTATTTCCCGCAGGTAAGTGCGGTCAGCTCAGTGAGTTTTTGACAAAACGACAGTGAGTTCTTCAATACGTAACGTATATATCAGTATATAAGTTTTCTTCTTAATCAATATAACATTATGGCAACACAGAATTAATTTTCCAAAAATACCTCATAGCTGACTGGAATGATGCTTCGAATAGGTAACTCAGATAAAAAGTATGAATTATTTAAGAATGCTTCAAATACATGTAGTTAACTCAGAAAAAAAATTAATATTCTAGGTAATAAACTCCAACATTGATTTAGAGGCCTTACATTAAATTAAACAGTCTCCAGTCAGCTGTTTAATTAATATTATAATGTTAATAACTCATTTTTCAAAACAACATGTTTGATATCATGTACTTATTTTTACTAATTTATCGCACCTGAAGAATAACGACAGTGAGTAATAACCATATTGATACATTATAGAATCATAATAATATATATAAAAAA